TAGCCGCGTTCATCGACAATCCTGATGGTGGAAAACCCATAATTGCTGGTATGAACGTTCTGGGTATTAATGCTAAAGGTCAGAAAGATGTCATGGCCGATTTCCAGGTTAGTTACATTATTTGTTAGTGAATTTTATTTGGTTGGTATGTTTGAGTTTATTTTATCGTACAAGTTTCGTTATAAAGTCCTTACAGTGTATATAATATAATTATATACCTTGTTTAGTATACGTATAATACACATACTATTAGTATATATGCATAATAATGTAATTTATTATATTATATTTGTAAGATCATTAGCAATATATTGTCATACAGAAACGGTGAAAAGCAAGTCGCGAATATCGAGTGTATAAATATTTATGTCATGTTATATAAAAATCATCAAGTGTTTCGATCTTCTTATTGGCGTCCTTCGTCTTTTGTAATATTGTATTGAGGAGCTTTCTATTGAACCAATTGTGCCTTTTTGTTTCCTATCTATACATTATCAAATATACTATATATATTGTCGTAATGTACAAAAATGTAACTAACAATAAGTTAGCATTGATAATCGTTACAGTTTAAATCAGAGAAGCTCAAATGTACATACGAAATCATGGGTAGTGCAACGAAGATGGCGTACGAATGTTACGGAGTTGACAAGTATCTATATGCTTATGGACTTAGCGTAGACCCCGTTTATCGAGGGTATGGATTAGGCAAGGATATTCTGAAAATCAGGTATGACTTGTATAAAGACGTTAGTTCGCAAATAAAAATTGAAGTTACATTTATTTATAAGTTATTAATAAAAAAATGGATGAAACATGATGTTATTGATTCTTTGCTCTATCTCACAGTCCAAATTCTTTAAAAAGATAAATCTTTCCAGAGCAAAGTAGAGCTATTCTATTTCTTTAGTAATAAATCTTATATCCGAATGATGCAGATAATCTCTCGTCCTTGAGCTTTCTTAATTTGTTCGAATATAATTATTTATATTTTGATATTTTATCATTATTTAATAATGATAAAATATATTATATTATAATAATGATAAAATATGTATTTTATCATTATTTAATAATGATAAAATATAAAAAAGTTAATATTTAATATTTTTAAGCTGTCTCTTATACACA